ACAAAGCTGTTCCCAAGTGATTGGTGGACCATGTTCGGAAGCCATTTCGTTTTTTATTCTGCACCAACAGAAATCAGTTGGGTACAACTGAAGCCTGAAAGGGCATTTTCATGAGACCAAAAATCTACATTCATGCTTTTAATTTATGTATTACACACTGTTAATGGGCTTAAGTTGAAATGCAGGTCTTTGACACAATATTGGCTTCACTTCTCAGACCCTTGCTTCAGCCAAAATGTAATATTAGGTACCTTTTTTTTTATTCTGAAATCTAAACACTTAGACATGCTGTGTAATCCATGGGCTCATTTAAGTATTTTAGAAGTCTTTCAGTTATTTGAATTGTAGAAATGACAGTGTGGGAAAGACTTTCATATAGACCTTTGAATTTAAAACCAATTATAATTCAACAATTATATGAAAAATTCTCAGAAACAAACAACAAATACCCAAGGACAAGAACGTTTTTGGACCTTGATTATGGCTCTGAAAGCACATTTGGCTTGTTTTTGATTCAAGATAAGCTTTTGATTGCTAGGATAACATGTAGTTAGAAAATCCACATCACATGGTTCCTCGCATTTATTTTATGTGCCTTGTTTCTCTTCGCCCACACTTACCAAAACCAGAAAACAACACCAAGTGTTTGTTTCCTTCTGTGAGAAGAAAAACACACACAGAGAGCGCTAACCTCATTGTACAAGGGAGCAGCTGTGTTTGTGGGAAACTTGATCTTAATTCTGATAACACTAACTGTAACAATACTACTGGCACAAGCTACAAATGCCGTAGTGTTATTTCTTCAATGGGTATCCTACAAAGGCATGGCAATCACTGAAATCTGCTTTTGTGTTATTGTTCCGTGTTGTAATGTGTTCTTAAAGTCAGTCTTAAGCCATTGTTGAAATATGTTTGTTTGTTTGTGAGATTGAAAATTATCCCCTGCATTTGAATTGAGCTCATATTGCAATATAGATTAGTAACACCTCCTTTATCGCAGCTCTGATTGGACGATTAAAAGCAGGAAGCCTGCTGCTGTGATGGTGCGGTTGACGATGGTTTATCTGAACACAACCCTCTAAGGGAGAAGCACTCACCACCAATGCTGGCATGCCACAGCAATACAATTAGGTTAAGGTCATGTGATTTAACATCATGAGCAACACATGATGGGGATACAAGCCCAACTAACAATCAGAGTATAATTGAGCCGCATGATTGAGAAGATTTGCCCTTAAGAGAGCTAAAAAACAAAATGAGGCTGTGCATGAATTAAATTGCAATCATGTTAATGGTTGGCTCGGCACTAATCATGATTGCTTTTGCTTCCACATCTGTTTATGACATGTAGTTTCATTAAACATGAATAGTATTGTTTCTTTGAAGACACAGTGCGGGATCCAAATGTAAACAAAGGGTTGAGAGATTGACAGATCTTTAGGCTCTTTGGAAAAGGCGAGAAATGTATGAAAGTTGCGCTTTTGTGTGCTTATGAGATGTTAAGTCGGTAATGTTGGTAATGGGCATAAGTGAAACAGGCATTTCTTTTTTAATGATGTTGAATGGTTAACGCAAAAAACACTCCATTACAAACGGCTATCTTAAGCTACATAAAGCAGTTTTTTATCTTAACAAAGCTCCACACTACTTTACACTATGCTGTATTTCTAATAATAACCCATAGTGACAGACCATCTCCATTTTGAATCACCAATATATCATAAGCAGATCCAATTAGTTTTAGGCTTGGTGATACAATTTCCAAGATTCAATCATTTGTTTCCTTTATGAATAAAACATTGTTAGAAATGTGTCTTGGTGTGTGCTCAGGAACCGAAAAAAAAAAAACACATAGCCAACAACAATATATATAACATACAATAACACATAAGCACAAAAAAAAAAAAATTAAAACTTAAGTGTGAGTTGGGTTTAAAGCCCGCTATGGGACACGGTTCATTTGATCACACATTCACACTGCAGTTTTACAAATCTGTCTGAGCAATCAAGCCTACGATGTGTTCGGCAGTCAGCAGATATTAGTTTCCAGGAACTCTGATCAGAGGGCCAGTACAATGTGTTCTCATTCGTAACACTCCGTTCGATGTCTCACTATGGGATGTGCCTCATCACGGAGCAAACAGAAGCATCAATCTCATTACGCCAATCCTGATTGGCTGGTGATCTTGACGTCAGCGTCAGGGAATCCACCCCCTATAAGTAGCTTGCGCTACGCCGCATGCGTCATTCAAACACCTCTTCTCGCTTCAGAGCACATCTCTATATTGGTAGCCGGGCTAGCTCACACAGTCCACAGACGGAACCAAGCTATCCAAGCTAACTTCGGTCGACGGGCGCTCGTCGGCTACTTCTATATATACTTCTGCAAGAAGACTTATTATTGCAAATCGACCTCGCCGTTTTTTCTTCGGAAATAAAGGTAAGATTTGATTTTTTCTTCCCTCACTACCGACACCACGGTAGCGAGGACGTCTTTTATTTTTCTCTCAGAGAAACCAGAGGAGTAGAAGATAAAAAAGGTATTAACACACCAGTTAATATTCTTTGAGAATAAAATCTACACCGTCGCTTTTTCTCCGGATTAACGACTGGTTGTGATTCTCTTTTCTCAGCAACGCACCTGCTACGAGCGCGTCCTTCCCACGTCGCCATAATGGCGAACAAGATGGACACGTCTCTCCCTCACACCAGAGGAGCCAGGGAATCGGAGGCTTGGCTCTGCGGCTGCGGGTTGAAGATTTCGGACACAGACGCACACCAGGTCTGCTCGTCCTGCCTCGGGCTGCAACATGCCCAGGAGGCTATCGACCTCACCTCCTCCCGAGGATGGCGACTACACCAAGCAGGAACCCCACGCTGCCGGCAAAGGCGGACCGGTTCCAGTCAACCATGACTGAACGGTCCTACAGAGCCGCAGAATTGTCTGCCAGGGCTTTGAACATTTCCTCGCTGCTAACCGCTTACCAAGCGGAGCTCTGCGAGGATCTGTCAAGTAGTCCTGGACCGGCAGTACTGGACGAGATAGCCGCGATCACGGACATCTGTCTCCGCGTTCAACGCTGCGCCTGTCCAGGCCACGGGAAAGGCAATGGGAATTATGGTGGTGCAGGAAAGAGCTAGATGGCTCAACCTCACCAACCTCCCAGACCGGGAAAGAGAGGATGTGCTGGACATGCCCATCGTTCCCGAGGGGATTTTTGGATCTGCGCTCGCTTCTATGCAGAAGAGATGCGAGTCCAAGAAGAAGGAAGACGAGGCCCTCCACCTCTGTCTTCCTCGAAGGGTCCAGCCGCTGCCTCCACAGCGGCAGTCCTTCGCCTAAGCTACCTCAGCTGCTCGGTTTAAAGTACCAAAACAGCAGAGGTCACAGCCCGCCCCGAGTCCCCAGCCCAGGCAGGAGACGAGGGCGAGTTGGCCCAGAAAATCTCCGGTTCCGGCTGCAGCCCAGGCGCAGCCAACCCGGAATTTCGGCCAGCAGTCGAGGAAGAAGAAGCTGGCGGCCTGACAGCCTCCTCTTCTTCCCTCGGTGACGGAGCTGGAAGGTTCCCCAGCTCCAGATGTGTTCCCGCTGCCTCGAGAGATGCCTCAACGCCATCCTCAAGTGCACCAAAACACATGTCACAATATTGTTCTGTTTTCTCGGATAAAGCATTTTCCGCTGACGCATCCAGGCCTCAGGCTGAGGGCGCAGCTCAAAAAAATGAAAGAGAAAACAATAAAAACGATAAAACCAATAAACAGCCCGCCATTTGTTCCCCTTTTGAGAGCAGCTACGGCCTCTCTCAAAAGGCGGACAATGAACGGGTCTGTGAAGGCACCGCCGCCACGCGCATGCGCAGTGACGACTGGGGCTGTGAGGCTACCACCGTCACGCGCATGCGCAGTGTCGGTGGGGACTGTCAAATCGGGGTACCACCGTGTTCAGACACTAGAGGGCCCCATAACACAACAAATAGAGACTCAGAGGGCAAAAGACGTGACATCTCCGCTGGCTCTAAGGAGCGAACAGTGGAAGATGCTCACAACGTCTGCTTGGGTGTTCAAGACAGTTACACGGGGCTACAGACTCCAATTCGCTGTCACCCCCCCTCGCTTCTCGGGCGTTCTGTATTCACAGGCCCGAGGGGAGTCAGCCCACATTCTAGAAAGAGAGATCCTCTCGCTTCTAGAAAAGAAGGCTATATCTATAATACCCGCTGAGCGGAGTCAGAGCGGCTTTTATTCCAAGTATTTCCTCGTTCCCAAACGGGGAGGGAACGGAATTCGGCCAATACTAGATTTGAGGGCTCTGAACGCGTATCTAAAAAGATACAAATTCAGAATGCTCACTCACACATCTCTGCTGCGTCTCGTGCGACAAAACGACTGGTTTACATCAGTCGACCTGAAAGATGCGTATTTCCATATCCCAGTATATTACCCACACAGGAAATATCTGGGGTTCGCATTTCAGGGTGTCTGTTACGAATACAGAGTACTTCCCTTCGGGCTGTCTCTCAGTCCAAGAGTGTTTGTACGGTGTACGGAAGCCGCGATAGCCCCGTTGAGACAACAGGGTATTCGCCTGGCAACCTACCTAGACGACTGGCTGCTCCTCGCACAGTCGGAACAGGAGGCTATTACGCAGACAAATGTCCTCGTAAAGCACCTGCTCAACCTGGGTTTCATAATAAACACAGAAAAGAGCATGTTGTGCCCGGCACAGACTGTACTCTTCCTGGGTTTACACCTGAACTCGGTGCCCTTTACAGCCCGCCTGTCAGCGGAAAGAGTGAAAGCTTTCAGAGCTTGCCTCGCTCATTTCCAGCTGCGCAAACATGTTCTCTTCAGATCATGCCTGCGGTTACTGGGGCTCATGGCGTCAGCCATCCTGATCGTACGACTGGGACGCTTACACATGAGGGAGTTTCAGCGCTGGGTAGCCGCTTAAAACTAAACCCCGCGCGTCATGGCGCGCGGAGAGTGATGGTTACGGCGAGATGCGTAATGGCACTGCGCCGCTGGCTACACCCGACTTTTCTAGTACAGGGCGTATCGATGGGGACTGTCCTTTCACGGAAGGTGGTCACCACGGACGCATGTCTGACAGGCTGGGGAGGTATTTACGAGGGTCGCCCGGTGAGGGGTCTCTGGAGCAGAGACCTCCAGCGGTCGCACATAAATTACCTGGAGCTTTTAGCGGTGTTCCTCACCCTAGAACGCTTTCTGCCTTTTCTCAGAGGACACCATGTCCTCGTGAGGACGGACAATACGACCACAATATCGTATATAAACCGACAAGGGGGTTTGCGCTCTCTCCAGTTACACATGCTGGCACGCAAACTGATCTTGTGGAGCTGCGGCCGTCTCCTCTCTCTGAGAGCGACGCACGTACCAGGGTTATTGAACCTCGGGGCAGACTTACTGTCCAGAGGTGCACCACTATATGCAGACTGGACTCTACATCCAATGATTGTGAGCCAGCTGTGGGTGCGTTACGGCCGAGTCGCGGTAGATCTGTTGGCATCAAAAGAAAATGCTCACTGTCAGCTTTTCTTTTCAATGCGCGATCAAAACGCACCGTTAGGTGTGGACGCGCTCGCGCACAATTGGCCTCCGGTCCTCCTGTACGCGTTCCCACCCCTGGCGCTGATACCCCAAACTCTGGCCAGAGTGAGGGAACAGCGCCACGAAATGGTCCTGATAGCTCCGCACTGGCCTGCAATGTACTGGCTGTCGGAGATCTATCAGTTGCTGTGCGGTCAGCCGTGGCAGCTCCCCCTGCGCAGAGACATACTGTCTCAGGCGGGGGGGACGATCTTTCACCCACACCCGGAGCGCATGGCCCTATGGACCTGGCCCGTGAGTGGTACAATATGAGTACAGTGGGTCTCCCGCAGAAGGTGATAAACACTATTCAGAGTGCGAGAGCCTCCTCCACCAGGTCTCTTTATGACTTTAAGTGGAGGGTGTTTGAGGAATGGTGCCTTCAAAAAGGGCACACCTCTTTTCAGTGTCCTGTTGGAGTGATTTTATCATTTCTACAGGACCTGATTGAAAAACACAGAGCTTTCTCCACGATCAAAGTGTACTTGGTTGCTATTGCTGAATGCCATGTGGGCTTTGAGGGTAAGACGGCCAGCCAGCATCCTCTGGTCTGCCGTTTTATGAAGGGAGCTCGCAGGCTCCTCCCTGTCTCCAGGTCACTGGTGCCCTTATGGGACTTGACAGTGGTTTTAGATGGGCTTACTCGAACCCCATTTGAACCTCTGGAAGAAGCTGACATGAAGCACCTGTCACTAAAGACAGTGCTGTTACTGGCTCTGGCATCAGCCAAGCGAGTCAGTGACATTCATGCGCTATCTGTACATCCTTCATGCACTCAGTTTTTCCCAGGGCAAACAAGGGTGTTGCTGAAGCCCAACCCTGCCTTTATACCTAAGGTGGTTGGTTCGTGTACCTCAATTGACATTGTGGCATTTCCTCCGCCGCTGTGTCCCTCCGGGGAACAGCAGCCGAATTTGCTGTGTCCAGTTCGTGCTTTACGCACCTATATGGATAGGTCAAAAGAGTTTCGTCGTAATGACCAACTCTTTGTATCCTGGGCTAACCCTCACAAGGGCAAGCCCGTTACTAAGCAACGGCTCTCCCACTGGATTGTGGAAGCGATTGCTTTGGCCTATACGAGTCAGGGTTTGCAGGCACCTCCGGGTTTGCGTGCTCACTCTACTCGTGGTCTGGCTACATCCTGGGCTTTGTTCAAGGGTGTTTCCATTCAAGACATTTGTGCAGCGGCGAGCTGGTCCTCGCCGCTCACTTTTGTCCGCTTTTACAGATTAGACGTCTCTGCTCCCAGTGTGGCTCATGCAGTGCTGGGCCCCCTGCTGAGTTAGAGCTCTAACTGTTAAGTTCTGGTTGGTCTTGGTGACTTTCGAGATAAGCTCGTCTGGCAATACGGGAGCTACAATATCCCATAGTGAGACATTGAACGGAGTGTTATGAATGAGAACTATAGGTTACTTACGTAACCCCAGTTCTCAGAGTAACATGAAGTGAGATGTCTCACNTGGTGACTTTCGAGATAAGCTCGTCTGGCAATACGGGAGCTACAATATCCCATAGTGAGACATCGAACGGAGTGTTATGAATGAGAACTATAGGTTACTTAAGTGTTCTCAGAGTAACATGAAGTGAGATCTCTCACCAGACGGCCCTTCTTGCTAAGGCGAAGCGAGAAGAGGTGCTTATTTTGAATGATGCATGGGGCGTAGCGCAAGCTACTTATAGGGGGTGGATTCCCTGACGCTGACGTCAAGATCACCAGCCAATCAGGATTGGCGTATGAGATTGATGCTTCTGTTTGCTCCGCGATGAGGCGCATCCCATAGTGAGACATCTCACTTCATGTTACTCTGAGAACTGGGGTTACGTAAGTAACCTATAGTTTTTAGTATGAGCCTGTGATATCAGACAGGGAACAAACCCAG